GTTGGGGGCAATATGCTGACTCTGTAAACCGCTTAGAGAGGGCTGAAAGCCCTATGAAGCGGTATATAAGTCTAACTGCTATTGCTATTGTATTGATCAACATCAACCCAGGTAGACTTCAACTTAGTTAGTTCCAGGTTGTTAGGTTGCTAACAAGGAATTTGTTAAGTGAGTTCACACCCAATATTACAACCTTTTTGGCTATGGTTTTTAAGGAAATTATTGCAGTCGTTAAGTGAATCATGCAGTTGTTAAGCAAATCCGGCTTCTCCCATAGTCTTTGCTTGCTAAAAGAAACTGGGAAGGTCTCGGATGGCAATCATGTGACCCTAGGGCAGTGTTTCTCAACCTTGGCGACTTTAAGTCCTGTGGACTTAAAGCCGCCAAGGTTGAGAAACACTGCCCTAGGATGTTGCAAAAATGCTTAATAAATGCCAGGTGCCAAATGCCCAAATTCTGATCATGTGAATGGTCATAAGAGTGAGGATTGGTCATAAGTCAATATTTCAGTGCCGCTGCAACTTCAAAATGGTTGTTAAATTAATGTTGTAATTTGAGAGCTACCTCTATACCTCTCTTATTTTTTGGGGGGGGGGCTGTCCTGTTAGGGTGGCGGCATGTGTTATTACCCCAAGGGCTCCTCCCATTGATCTCTGACGATACTGCGTAGACTAAGATGTGGAAGATTATTAGAAAAGTTAATATCCTAAATAATAGTAAAGACAGTGCACTACAGTGGAGTCTCCCTATTGATCTCCTTGGGTAGCTTTGAGCATCTCTCTCTCTCCCTCCCTCCCCCACATCTCTCTCCCTTTTTATCTCTCAGTCCAAACTATCTCACAGAGTTGTTTGGGAATAAAATTGGTGAGACTTTTTTCTGTGTCTGCCACCTCGAGCCCTCTCAGAAGCAGCAGAATATTAATTCAGTCAAGAAAACAGAGTAAGGTGCCTTAAACGCTATTCTCTGTGGCTCTAATAAAACATTGAAAATGAAAACGCTCACACACCTCCAAATCCCGTACCTCCAGAACATTTCTGTGCTGTTTCGTGGCTCCAAAATTGACCCAGAATTAACAAAAGGCAGCCGGAGTGCCTCACAGACCCTCCCGCTTGTGAACGCTTATACAAGGAGAGCTTCCACCCTTCCCATTTTAAAACACATGCAGCAGAATATCATTGTTACTCACAGCCTTCAGGAAACTTGATGGATTCTGCTGGAGCAGAGAAAATCAGAACCAGCGGCCACAGCATCAGCAGGCAGGCGGGTGTTGAGGCCATCTTCTTTGGCAACGCAGGCCAGGCCTCCTTCCTTTACCTGGGTAGCAATATAGCCAAGGAGACAGCTGCATACAAGCCCTAATGTGACTTGTGGCTGAAGAAAGAACAAGAGAAAGAGCATGCATTAGCAACGGAAAAAAAAAAAAGAAGAGTGTAAATTGGTTTCCTTCCCCCTCCCAGGAAAATGTCCTTTCCCCAAGGACTGTAGTGCAGACTGCAAAATGGATTGGAGGAAAGTGGGGGGGGGGGAAGCATTGAAGCCCTATGTTTATTTGTTTGCATCATCCTTCAGTCCAACTTGTTGGAGGTGCGTGCTGTGTGAAGTGGATAAGCAATTAGAGAAGCCTCCTTCTTTTCACAATGACTATTAAAATAAGGGAGCGGGAGAGAGGGTTACGAAGAGAAATAGAATTTAGGAATTATCCTTAAATTGGAATAAAGGCAGAGTACACCCCAATTTGGAGAATTTGCCCTGGAATGTCTTTTCAGTACGGAAGGAAAACGGGAGAGCTTCTTTTGTTCAGGCGAGAGAGAATGGATCATAAGGAGGCAGAGTGGAGGGGGTGGGAATCTGGAGAAGGTTTTATGAGAGTGGGTGTTGAAGGGAAAGAAAGAAAAAGAAAGACGCTTGTGCAAGGACTAATGGAAAAGAACCGAGGGTTGATGGATGGAAATAGCAGAGTAAGGAGAATGGGAGAGAGGCAGATAAACAGAGTAATAAAATGGAGGATAAAAGAGAGAGGGGGGGAGGAGATTAAATGAGTTTTTGAACACCCTGGATATACATAAAGATGGAGAGATAAAATGGATATGCAGAAGACAAACATCAAACACAGTAGATTTCAATAAAGTTCCATTTTATCAGCTCTTGTCGTCAGCATAGATTCATAATATGCTAGCCTACCCCAGCAGATATTTCTGATGACCAGGAAGATTTCTTTTAAAAATACAAAATAGAACAAGCAGGGTAATCAATAGATGAAAGGGTTTATGTCAACGCATGAAGATGCCAGAAAAATCCCGGCCACAGTTTTGAAGCTGCATCACTATTTGAACACCCTGTCATCCACCTCGCCAGGTGCAGCCCATGACATAGGTACTATAACAGTGTTTCTATTGTGAGTTTAATCAATCTTCCTCCAAAATGTTACCCTCCAGATACCTTAAATGAAGGGAGGGAGGAATATGAAAATACAATGAAATCCCTGTTGCAGGCATTCACCTGCAAAACTTGGGGACATGGGTGGTGGGAAAAGAGGAGGCATCGAATGAAAGGAAATGCCTAATTAAGGCTAAATGACCCAAAAGTAACTTTTCGCGGCTTCTCCTATGTTTGACTTGATTTTTCTCTTGGTAAGGTTAAAGATGGCAGGGTGCCCATATAGCTGCTCCTTCAGAGTAGACCTGGAAAAGACTTAATGGGTCTACACCGAGGTGGCGCAGTGGGTAGGGTGCAGTACTGCAGGCCACTTCAGCTGACTGTTATCTGCAGTTCAGCGGTTCTAATCTCACCGGCTCAAGGTCAACTCAGCCTTCCATCCTTCCGAGGTGGGTGAAATGAGGACCCAGACTGTGGGGGCAATTTGCTGACTCAATTTGCTAAAAATCTGTAAACCGCTTAGAGAGGGCTGAAAGCTCTATGAAGCGGTATATAAGTCTAATAAATAAATAAATACACAAGAAAAGGGAATTGCCGTATACATGATAGACTTGCCAGGAAGGAAGTTACTGGCTGTAATCTAATGTAATTTCAGTTCATCTCGTTTGCAAGACATTTTCACTGGATGAAACGCGTGAACAACAAAATTCAATCAGTTGTTGGGTCAGAATGACTAGGTATAAAATAACTATGGTAGGCTGCCCCCTCCCACCCCTCCCAGTTGACCTGAATCTCCTAGCATAACTTTTTTTAAAAATCAAGAGTGACTACTGGTGACTATATGGCAGTGGTGGGTGTCAAAATTTTTTGGAACCTCTTCTGTAGGTGTGGCCTGCTTTCCAGGTCCACTGGTGGAACCTCTTCTAACTGGTTCGGTAGGTTTGACGAACCGGTTCTAATGAACTGGTGCGAACCAGTAGGAACCCACCTTTGCTATATGGACACATCAAGGCAGTTTTTCTGGGCATCATTTTTGGAAATGATTCCCACAGCCTTCAAATGATGCCCAGAAAAACTGCCTTGATATGGGGTAGAGATGAAAAGTTGGGTATTATCAGTGTATTGATGATACCGTACCCCAAAACCACTGATGATCTCGCCCAGAGGTTTCATATATATGTTGAACAGGAGGGGTGAGAGAACCGACCCCTGAATTTTGTCTTCCTTTCCTTTTTATAGATTTTTTTTTCTGTTGCAGGAGGAAAAACAAAGATATTCCAAATAATAATGGCCTCCAAGTGACCTTCGCCTGTCTGACTGGGGCGTCTGAAATTGAGCATTACTAGGACATGGGACTAAATATTTCCCCAGGGGCAACAACTGTTTGGGTCAGCCAAGTTATGCAATGATAACCACTGAATTGTAACTATGCACAAAGACTTTGTAAAATAATGCTTAAGCTCTGTTTGAGTTGAGGCTTGGCCTGAGGAAAAGGGGTATGGTACAAGCCACACACACAAAAAATCACTGTGTCCAAGTAAATGTGACAGTTGTCTTAATCCCCATCTCTATTTTATTCTAAGTGGATTCTTCTCACCCATCCCTTTTAGCCACCCGTAAAATGACAATGTGAAATTTATATTTGAATAACACCAGCAGCAGTTACTATAGAAAGAAGAGACTGCACGTAAAGCCTTGAGCTTTTGAACCCATGGCTGATGAAAGCGGTTAAATGGAAATGGAATAATTATTTACTGTTGCTTGAGCTCTTTTAATCTACACAAAGAATTTAAATTGTTCTATAGCAATTTGTTCTCACATTTTGCCTCTGATTAGCAACAGATTTCCAAGGCCTGGCAGTGGATATTTATTGGTTTAGCCTTCCCAAATCTTCCAGTGACTCCCATCATTCACAATTAGCACTTCCCTTGCTTGGAGGAAGGGAGTTCCAGAACAAAGCATACAGAAGGTGTAATGATGGGGAATGAAAACCAGGCCTGGTGTATACACAAGTTGTGTTCTGGCACGGAGAGATTGGATTCCCTGCCCTTCACTATGGCCATAGATGGAAACAAAAGCAATGGAATTCAGACCCAAAGCCAGAACACTTGCTGAATTCGGATGATTTTTGAATCAGTCCTTGAACTATCTATGGTCCAGAGGTGGGTTCCTACCAGTTCGCACCTATTCGGTAGAACCGGTTCCTCAAATCTACCGAACCGGTTAGAAGAGGTTCCACCAGTGGACCCGGAAAGCAGACCACACCTACAGAAGAGGTTCCAAAAAAATTTGAAACCCACCACACACACACACACACACACACACACACACACACACACACA